TAGCCAGAGCAAGAGCAGGAGCAGGAGCGAGCGAGTGAGCGACATATAGACAGAGCCCAGGCCAGGACTCATCCTGTCCGAGCCTGCTTTTTAGTTTTCTGTGTTTTTTTCGGTGCGGGGGGTGGGTGGTGTGTGGGCATTCCTTGACTCGTACTCGGACTTCTGTGTGCGATATCAATTAAGGATACGTACAGCTCACTGTACGGCTCTCCTGCCTGCCCTGCCCTGCCCCCTGCCTGCCACGGCCCTCGGCTTGGCTCTCTATCTCTCTGCTCCGATTTCTCGCTATTTTAGAGGATTTTTTGGTAGCGATAGGCAGACCAGGGTCCAGTTCTCCCACGCCCACGCCCACTCCCACCGACAAAACTTTGTTCAATGCTGCAATGGACAGCACAGCACAGCACAGGACAGCAGCCTGGCAGCCTGGCAGCCTGGGAGCAAGCGAGAGCGATGGAGAGTTGCATGTGCGTGTGCGTCGTTGCTTTTGCTTGTGTGCATTGGTCTGTGTGTGTGTGTTGGGGGGGTTTAAGGGGGGGTTGGGGCCCTAATGGAAATTGGTTTTATGCATGTTGGCTTTTGTTTATTTTTACAATTTTGATGATGTTTTGCTGAATGCGATGCGAGTGGCATCCCTCCCCCCAACCCACAGCCCACACAAAAACCAAACCAAAAAGCAACAAAAAAAAATACGAGAAGAACCGAATGGACATGTCTCTAGGCTGGTTCTTGCCTCTCTTTTACTCCTACACGTAACTGTCTGTCTCCCTCTGTGTGTGTGTGTGTGTTTGTGTGTGTGTTTTGGGTTTTTTACTTTTTGGGTGTTGACTGTACTTCCGGACATTGCATTACATTACGTACTTGTTTTGCTTCCCCACTTTCTCCTCTACACTGTTTTCTATCTTTCTCTGGACTCTGTGTGTGTGTGTGAATGTGCATTTTTTTTTTTTTTGGAGCCCATTTCGATTAGCTTTCAAACACACACAAAATGGCGCAGTTCGGTGGAGAGAGAGCCAGATGCAAATGTAACAGGCCTTTTCTGGTGTGGACTGTACCTTGCATAAGCATGAACAAATATAAACAGAACTAGCATAAAAGACAAGGAACAAATGGTAGCTCAGTCAGCCAGACTCTGAAGAATTCTTGGGAACAAATACTATCAAATTACTATCATCAAATAGGACCCCAAGTTCCAGCGTGGTAAAGTTCTTCAAACAGTCCTTAATGTTCGATGAAGCACACAAAAACTAATGTAGAAAGTTCTTCAAATATACGTTGGATGAGATGATGCACGCAGTATGCACGCAAAAGCTCATTGCTCTAGCATTTAGAGTTTTCGAAGGCCAGGTGTTCAAAGAGCCAACTGATTTGTTTTGTTAATTCTGGCTATAATAAAAATACAATTGATACTTAGAAATTAGAATTCTTTCACTTATAATTTCATTCATTATTAATTTCGTTTTTAATTATTAATTTATATATTTTTTTTAATTAAAAATTGTTTAATTTAATTAGGTTTAATTTTTAATTTTTTTTTCTGTCATCAAACATACACAGAAATTCGTTATATTTCTGCTCCTACGGATATCTAGTATCTTTAAATATTTTATATACATCCAAGCCCTTACCTTGCCCCTGTGTCACCTTTTGTCGCAGAGAGAGAGAGAAAGAGAGATGGATCTGCCAATACTCCTCCTTCTGTGGCTGGTATGTCTGTACAGGAATCAGGTGTCTAGGCAACCATTTATCCGTATATATTCCATTCTGAAAAATAAAACTAGAAATACTCTGTAACACACACACACAAAAAAAAAAAAAAACAAAAAAAAAGCGCATGCAAAGGCTCAGGTAAAAGGTAAAATGAGAGTTGACCAGAAAGAAAGAAAGGGCAGGTACAAGCGGTATAAAAGGGACACACACACACAGGTGATAGTTGGTCTGCTGGGTGGATGGGGAGGCTAAGAGTGGAGGAGGACTTGTAACGATTAATAGCCATAGTTATGGCCGTGGCCAAGCCCCGGGCAGCCGACAGGACCACCCCCAAAGCCCCTATCCGCACACTGCCACCCTCTTCCGTCACACGGCCTCGCCTTTGTCTGCCGATAAAAAAAAACCCCCACCAACACACACACACACACACAAAGGGGCCACATACACCTCACAAACATCGCACTTTGCATATGCGTTTTAGCATGTGCCTGCCAAATGCACCCACTCACATTTTCCGGAAAAACAAAATCGACACAGACACAGCAGAGAGAGAGAGAGAATAGCAACAAAAAATAAAACTAAAAAAACACAACAGACACAAAAAAAGAATACAAACAATATTCTTTTAGGTTCGACATTTGACTGCCCAGAGTCCTGTGTGTCCTGTGTCCAGGGGCCTCAATCTACCAGAATCTCAGTATATATATCCCATATACACATATGGACAGAGGCAAGCATCCAATCAGAGGCGGGAGAAAGGTTTCGGTTTCAGTTTTTTGGTGGGTGTGGCCAACACACACACACACACACACACAGACACACAAGGAAAAAAAAGGATCCACAAAAAAGAGGACACACACATTTTTTTCCCTCCAATCTGCACAGACCCAAGGGGTATGAGTGGACATGGACATGGACCACCGGGCAAGGGTTATGCACATCAAAAAAGCCGCACATCCACCCACATATCGAGGGGACCCGCAGGTCCTGCCAAAAACTTCTACCAAACACCAAATGATTGACAACTGCAGTCGGGGCACGGTTTGGTGGGGGGATAGACAACAGTTTGATGTCTCGAATTTTGTAGAATTTGTTGGCATATTTTTTTCGTGCGAATTTTTGTTGGTTGGTTAATTTTTGGAACATTTTGTAGACAAGTTTTGATTATATTTTGGAAAACTTCTCGAGCAACTAAAAAACAAAATAAAAATTACTCGTAATTGGTCAAAGGTTACCAGGGAGAGGGAGACGTATCAACACGAATTGTGTTCCGTATCCTCAGATATATTTTATGGCCAATCATTCATGGAGTTTTACAGCCGAATTCCACTTGAGTATCTTGAGGAAATGCAGCCCCAATCCCCAATGAGAAGTTAATGCTGGTGCACCCGCCAATTAAATGGAAAAATATGCACTTGAATTTCTACAAAATTACTTGACTTAATTCAGAATTGCTCAAATTAAAGGGAATCGCTGATACCGTCTTGACATTATTTTTATTTTCTCGTGCTCTGCGAACATTCAACACGTGCATAATTTCGATTATTCTGCTGTTTGTGCTGCAACAGCATTCTACGCATGCAGCCCGTCGTCTGTGAGGTAAGAACTATTCAGAATTTAAAACCAATAAAATTGAAAATAAATCCGTGTTGCATTTCCTTACAGGTTTCAAAAATCAGCTAGGAAAACATTGGGGCATACCAGGAGAAGCATCAACAGCTGAACAGATTGTAAGCACTACCGAATGTCAATAAGAATAAAGCGTGGGAAATGGTAACAACTTTGGAATTACAACAACACAATTAGGAAAAACCTGTGGAAGTTCCACAAGAATCAGGCCGACGTCCAGGCGAATGTAGAGAAAATAGTCCATACATTAATTTGTGCAGGCAGAGATCAGCAATCAGAGGAAGACATTTCAATCCAGAACCAATAACCTTCAAGAAGTATTGAGGGCGTGAAGAAGAACATTACGATTCAAGATGTGAAAACTAAGGAGCAGGATAAATTAAATGTCATAAATAAAAAAAAACATGACCGAGGAAGTGGAGCAGCAAGTGAATCAATCGGTAGCCAGAGCAGGGGATCAACCCAAGACATTAATGAGAGTCAACTCCTGCCGTCAGATACTCTGATGCAGCGACCTAAAAATCTGTACGCGGTCGAGAAAAACCCTCTTCGACTAAATTGCATTAACCATTAATTTAAGACGTGCTAAATTTATTTTTTAAAATTTTTTATTAATATTTCGTTTTTTTTTTCATTTTTATTTTTGTATTTATTTCTTATTTTTTCCTTTAAAAAAAAATAATTATTTCATGAAATCCAAAAAAAAAAAAGTATTTTAAGTTTTTGCTTTTCTGTGTTTCCTTATGTCTTTGATTTTTGTTTGCGTTCTAATTTAGCTTTTTTTGTTTTGTTTTTTGGGTGGAAAAAATGTATTAATTACTGTACATAATTGTTTCATTGAGAACTGCTCTTGAAATGTCCACAAATTCAAGCCACTACGTTTAGTTTTTTTTTTGTATAAATATATATTGTATGTATTTATTTATTGATTTTTCTATCGATTTTTTTTTGTGATTTTATTGTTGGTTTTTTTTCAAAAATTACTAATAGCTTAAAGGCTTCTTGTTTGGTTAAAAAAGTGTTCAAGTAAAACCATCTGCTTATCAAAGGGGACTCAGACACAACCCAGGCAAAGCTCAAGTGTCAATCGATAATTTATCGAAATGGAACGAAATTATTTTGAAGTCAATTTTTTAATAAAATTTAAATAAGTCAAGTTATTGATACTATATCGAGCTTTCAAAAAACTGTTCTTTTTAATCTAATTTCGTGAAATGAAATAATTATCGAAATCAAATGCTTGTATTAATTAATCCAAGAAGCTAGTTATCGATTATTAATCGCCCTGCCCTTAGCCGTAATAAATCATAGCTAAAATGTAAATATGATCAATTTAATTTGTAACTAAAATGTCAAATCGATGCTCAAAGAATAATCGATGAAGCGATGAGAAAAAAAAAAACACTTCCATTTCTGGCACACGACGTTGCCCTCGCCATCGAATGCTCCGATTTACGCTAGTTTCTAAGGGTTAATGTTGTGGGTGTGTTTATTCAGTTGCGATTACTATACAAATACAAATATATGTATAGCGATATATATATGTATAGATATAGATGTCGGGAGAAGGGCTTTGAAAGCCCCGAACACCCTAACGGACCCCATAAAAATTTATTGAAATCAAATCAAATTGAAATCAATGGGTATTTCGGATACATGTATTGTGGTATATAATTTTATAACGAATGGTTCCCACTCTTTCTCTCTCTCTCTCTCTGTTCCTTCCATATCTTACTGAGTTCTCTTCGATATTCTTCCATCATTCGTACTGATCATCCCCGGATCTCGATCGCTTAAGTTTAGAGGAGGAAACAAAAATTGGTTATCCCGCCCGAGACACAAAAAAAAAAAATTATTTATAACATTTTCATCTCTTATTTTTTATGTTTTCTTTCGTGTTTTTTTGTTTTCTTTAGAGTTTTAATATATGCTTATGCATTGTTTTTACCCCACCCGCCCTACAACTCCAGTCGCTGTCCCCGTCACGCACCCATCGCAAAGATCATCCATCCATCCATTATCATTTCGTGTTTTTTGTTTCATTTCGTCGTGCTTCGTTCAAGGCTATGATAAGGCGCCGGCGATGACATGGATTCAGTCTTCGACAGCATACTTCTGGGTCCACTCACGGGCATTGCGTATGGCCTCCGCCTCATTGACCTTCCAGAGCTCGGCCACATCATTGGCCAGGGGATCATCGGGATTGGGTGCACTGAGCAGAGCCTGAATTGACAGCAGAATCGTGCGAATCTGCAGCGCTGGACTCCACTTGTCCTTGAGCACATCCAAACAGATACGACCCAAGCGATCGATATTGGGATGATAGATTTTCGTTATAAAGCGCACCTTTGGGGCCGACATCGGATAGTCCTCGGGCAGAAAGAGTTCCAGCTTAAAGACGCCACCCTCGAAGGGAGAGTCATTGGGTCCGGTGACGATCACATGGAAATAACGAGCATTATTCTCATCCGGAATGGCATTAATCCCAGGCACCGGCTCCTGCATCAGGCGCTGTGTCTCCTTGATTATACGACGTGGCAGACTCGACATTTTCTCTTCTGCTTTCCTTCAACTTTTTCCAGCTTCTTCTAGGTGGCTTCCTTCTGCAATGCGCCGCGTCTATGATACTCCTTCTACTTTAAAGATGTTTGGTGCTCTGTGTGTGTTCTGTAAAAGGTACAATCAAAAGAAGAGAGGAAAATTGTTTGAGATACGTAAAATACAAATAAATTTTCTTGTTGCTGCAATGAAAATATGTTCAAGGACGCAGCTTGCTGGTGCTGGTGGTGGTGGCTGGTGCTTGTTTGTGTGTTGTGTGGGTTTGGTTGGGTTGGGTTGGTGATGGTAGAGGGCTTTCCAGCTTTCACTTTCCTTCAAGCAAGTGGAAACTTTTGTTGTGCAGCAAAAGTTGATAGCATTTTGCATGCCCCACAAAGATAACGCTCTATTTTTACAGTACTGACCTGTTTTGTACCTCTTAAAGTTACTTTTAAGTCGAATATTCGTATTACTATTTTTTTTTTCCTAATATTGGATATTATTTGTGGACTTCAATTTCTATAACCTTCGAGAAAAACATTTTTTTTATTCCAGCTGCAAGGCCTACCCCGTTTATTCCTTTCGATTGGTTCTAGATCCACCTGATTTCTGGTATTTGTAATTGAGGTGACCACTAGCAGCCGATATCTGACAGACTCTACTCGCTTGAACCATTTATAATCATTTAATATGGCCCCAAAAACACCCACAAGAAAGCCTCATAAAAGTGTAATCTTAACCATAAACCAGTATTTTGTTGCACAGTGTAATCGGTCGGTCACACTGCCCATATGACGCACAATGGCACAGACAGACGGAAGACGAGACAGGCGAACGCGCGCACGCCCCACTGTGTGCATGCGGAATATGGCCGGTTGTCAAGAGACCAGCGCAGAGGAGGGTGCTTCATACGTCACGGAAAGGGGGCGACGAGCGTGTGATTGAAACAAGAAGCGGTGAGGGGGAAATTTCCAGAAGAAAATGCACAAAATTTTAGAAAATCTAACCAATTTTTGCAACACTTAGTGTTTGTGTGTGTGTGAGAGATTTCGGCTCTTTGTTGTATTAAAATTTATTGATTTCTTTTTGGGTGACACACGCACATTGGGCCCACACACACACACCGACAGACCATACGCGCGCGCGACAAAAACCCAAACCATGGTCTCTGTGGGGGGGGAGGGTGTGCAGGTGCTGTGGTTGAGGTAGAATGCGCCGCAGTGGCATGCCACAAAATCAATAATATTATACCAATTTGGCTAAACACCTAATAAGAATTTTAACACTAAAATGAACCACATTTCTCGCGTAGCAGAACGCACGCATACTCTCTCGCACACACACACACATAGGCACACACATGGCCTGAGGCAGAGACGCGCCACAAAAAAGACAAGAACAAAAGAAGACAAAGAAAGAGAACAAGAAATTTTGCAGGAAAATAAAGATTTTTGCAAATTAATTAAAAACAAGAAAAAAATAAGCAACGCACAAACAATTTTTCGTGTGCAGAACATATATGCACACACTAGCACAGAGCACACACAAACACACCTTTGGGGGCAGATTTGTTAAGCCGCTGTCGGTTTTTATCAACTTTATGTAGCAAATTTTTGCGTAAAATGCGCGTTTACTTTGCTTGCCGCCACCTCCAACACGTCGTCCACGTTCTGCCTTATGTTCTTTTGCACTTTTACACTGAATTTCGTCGTTTTAGAGAGAAAAACAATGATTTTTCTCTATAATGGGATTTGCAAGTGAAACAAGAAAAAAAAAAATGAACGGGGTGGAACAAAAGTTGCACACTCACAGGGTTCTCGAGATAGGGTTCTTGCCAACGATAATCTTATTCGATTTATACGGCCCTTTCGGTAGATTTGGTTAATTTTTCTATTTATTGCAGGCAGAGTTCGCTCCACCACAAAAAATTATGAATGTCGAAACACACTCGAAAAAAAATTGTAGACGTTGCCGTTGTATGCGCGTATGCGTGTGACTAATCTTTGCATGTGTTGTATGCGTGTGAGCGGCAATGTCAGTGGCGCAGAGTTGCCAGCTTACCAGCTGCGAACTGAGTGAAAATTATGCGGGTGTTATTTCAGGTATGTAACAGCTAGAAAGGTAAATTTTATTTTTAACAGAAAACGTTTGAATTATGCTAGCTATCTATAGCATTAGATTTAATTTTCCCATGTACTTTTATAAGTTGTCCATGTAGGCAAGCTGAATGGCTTGACAACCCTATTGCCAAGCGGCTGTCAAATGTGCGGCAAATTCATAGCATTCAGCTTCCCGACACGATGCAAGACGGTGTTTTGCACAGAGCAGTTTTTCGTTTGGCAGTCGGCTCTTTTGCAAGACGGCGCGCGAAAAATAACTGAAAGCGAAAATTGGCCGTAAATTGCTGGAATTTAATGTTGTCTTTATGTGCGGATGTTCATAAGTGATATTTAATTTGTTATTTGCTATTATTTCGTTTGGAAAACCGATAACAGCTTGCAATGGTAAATTTGTCCCAATATTGTTCCGTTCTTCATGCAGCATGTGTAGCGCTCCTTGACCGACTCGGCGTATTGAGGCTAAAATGTATAGATATACTATACCTATGTTGTTGGAGCTATGTTATGAGGTTTTAAACAACTAGGTTCCCCTTGCTTCACCCACTTATTGGTCATTATATTCCTTTCGGCAAAGTCAAGCAACAAGAGCGACACCTTGGCAGGCTAGCTGGGCCAGAGCGAGAGCGAACATACATACTGTATGTATGTATGTATGTATGTACACATATGCACATACGGGCATGATACATACAACACAATACAAAAAACGTTTGGTCCCCTCTGTTTGGTAAATTTACAATTTGACACCAACACCGAAACAAAAGCAACGAACGCAAAAAAAAAACAACAAATTGTCAATTTTGTGTAATCATTATTTATGCGTTTTAAGTGCCATACCGGTATTGGGCAGTGAGGGAGAGAAGAGGCTGGTCATAAACGCACACACACACACACACACCCATACGCATATCAGCATAGCCACACACATGTACGCTCACATGCGGACATGCACATATTTGCCTGCAATGCCCAATTGGACGCACAAGAAGCAGCAGAAAAACGGCAAAAAACTATACAAAAAAACAACAACAAAAATACCAACAGGCCATTGAGACAGGCGGCTTCTCTTGCCTCTCGCTCTGGCGCTCGCCTGCACCACACACCGCCTGCTGCCTATTTGCAATGCAATCGAGCGAGCGCACGACGACACAACGACAACGACGACGCGTCCGCTGCGCGCACAAATACGAATGATAAATAGCTGCGTGTGTGTGTGTGTGTGGTTGTTGCTGTTTCTTTTTATCTCGCTTCACACACACACACACCCAAATCGTGCGGCGCGTGCACATTGAAAAAGGGCAACAGCAACAACAAGCAGAGGCAGCCATATGCATTCACACACACACACACAACACATACATATGTACGATCTGTTTTTAGGCTGTGGGGCAACAACTGTAAAGTAAACCCAACCCACAAGGCCCATTTGCTCGGATCCAAGCGTGAGTGAGAGGGAGCAACGTGATATAGTGAGAGTGAGAGCGAACAACTTGACTCTCTGCTGCAACTGCGCTGCCGCCTGTTCACGCAGCTATCGATACGTGCCAGGCTGTGTATGTGTGTGTGTGTAGGGGATGTCCGTTAGTAGAGGAGGGTGCATTTAAAGCGGAGTGGTGTGGTGCTGGTGGCTGCGACCTTTACTTGCTCTTGAGATGCAGCTGTTTAACGACATTTGTTTTACTTACTTTCTACGGCAGACAGCTGATCATTTCAGTGGGTGGGTGGGAGTGGTAGTGGGCTAAGAAGCAGCGCATGAGAGGCAGCTAATAATAGAGAAAAGTGCTAGGAATGCTGATGATGATGAAGGTATTTGCAAAGCGGAAGATATTGCCTCAAAAGTTTCATAAGTTTTGCCCGGAACTAGTTCAAACATTGTAATACATAACCCTGAATCAATGTCGTTTCCTATTTCCGGTTTTCCTCATCCAAAGTCTTTAGGATGTTCACTAATATGGTTCACAAAATAAAGGAACAAATCAAATATAAAACAAAATAAATAAATAGAAAATATTCATAATAAAATAAGAAGTAAAATAATATTCTTATATTCTTCAAAAAAAAAAACAATGAAGGAACAAAGAAGAAGAATAAAGCTGAAATAAAACAAATTCAAAACTAAAACTAAGCTAAAACGCCTCAACTACGAACACATCAGATATTTCCTCTGGCAACTTGATACTCTGGAGATTTCGTTGAGCTTTTAAAAGTACATTTAATATGAGTATTTTTGAAAGGAACTGCGCCAGTTGGTTGTTTTATTAAAAAGTTTCTAGAAAGGCACAATTTCTTTTTAAGTTTATTTTAACCAGAACCTCTCTTGGACGAGATGGAAATAGGCAAATCATTTCCGAATAAAATGGTTTCCTAGATTTCATTAAACACTCGCCGTGCACCCTAGAAGGTGCCACAACAGAGCTGCCATGAAAATAAATCCACCCTCCTGCTCGTAGGCAAATGTTTGCCTGTCTACGCCATGTTTTAACTATGGGAGGAGGGATGGGATTCGTTTTCGTTTGCAATGGAAAGTTATGTTATTTTGAATAGTTGAGGATTGGAGCCATTTAAATACATATAAGAATGATTTACAAGGATGGTTGGTACTTGGAGATTTCTAAAGGAATGGCAATTGGGACTCCCATTGCAATTCCTGCTCGTTGCCGATTGTTTTTGCTCAATGCTATTTTCGACAGAAAATCGATCACACTTTTACGTATAAATTAATTTAATTTGCATCTTTTGCAGTCACAAGATGAGGATTCCATTTCGGAGAGATGCCACAATGGTGGAAGCTGTGAAAATTTGGATTGCGACCACGCGAGCCCCTGGCGCATGCGCACATCATGAAAGAACCATCAACCATCGGTAAGTCGAAAGTTTTCCAAGAATATAAGTCCCAAAAGTATCCTCTGATGATGATAATAATGCAGGATCCCGCACATATCTAGCGATATATTGAATTGAATTTCATTGAAAGTAAACCATATATATAGATGGAAATTACTTTAATTTATTTCATGAATAATTTGGAAAAATATTCCACACCCCCCCCCCACCTTCACACAACGTGCGACACATTCAACCCTTTCATTTATTTTGGCAACAATTATCGGCAACCAATCCGCAGAATGTTGCCAGCCGCATGCTGCCAAAGGAGAGCAACATCGCTTTGGGCAACATGCCCAAGCCGAAAAATTCACTCTGCTCATTTGCTCTTTGGCCCTGCAGCACCTCCCGAGTGCATCTCAAGAGAGTGTGTGTGTGTGTGTAGCTCGGCTCGCTCTCGCCGCTCTCTTCCTCGTTTGCTCTTGAGACCCAAAACGCAACGAACAAAACGAGCAAAACAAAAAATGCAAAAATACCAACAAAAAAAATTTTGTTTTGCTTCATTCTTTTTTTTTTGGTTTTTGTTGCTGTCGAAGTGCAAGGGATTTCGGTGGGTGGCGTGTTTTGGGGGTGGGGTGGTTGGTAGTGGGGGATGGGTGGGGGGGTACAGGGTTAGACGCACGCAAAAACTGAAACAAATATATAAAAACGAAACGAAACGACAGAGCGGAGCGGTGCGGTGACGATACCAGCGAGGAGGGGAGGGTGTGAGCAAGGGGGAGGCGGAAAGTGTCCGTTAGTCATTAGGCGGCGTCAGCATTAACGTCAACGCCAGCGTCGCGTCGCTATTTATCTGAATGTAGCGACTGTTATCCTTCTGTTATCGCAGCTGCTATCAATTCTGTGGAGCGTGCATAAACTATGCTAATGTTACAGCTTATGTTACTTATGATTTTCAAGCTTATGAAGATCCTGTTAAAGAGTTCTGTATGTTTTCGTTACCCTTAAAGCTACTGTTAAACGTACTGTTATGTTATTTTAAATATACTGTTAAACGTATGTTAATGGGGCTGTAAAACCTTTATCATGAGCTGCCTGTAATTTATAGAATTATTTAGAATCCGAATATGCAAGATTTATTTTCATGTTTATGTATGTTAAATCCTATTTTATGTGTTCTATAAATGCTTTTGGTAGGGCCCATGTTAAGAGTTCTGCTATGTGCAATGTTAGGTCTTATGTTATGCATCTTGCTGTTTTGTTTCTTTGCCTTACGGTAACTGTGCTGTTATTGCTCTGTTTTTTCTATTATCCATTAATGTTATGGTTATTTTTTTTCGAATTTACTGAGTTTATTCATATACTGCTAATATGTTAATATTAATTGTATATTAATTAGTATTTTGCTAATGTTAACTGTTATTCGATCTTGTTCTCAAATGTCCCTTTTACCGCTCTTCTGTTAAATATGTATACTGTTCCACTGTTAGTGTTAATGTTATTATTACATTTGCTCACTTCTGTTGCTGCTGTTAATCTTGCTGTTATTTGTATGTTAATTCATCTGTTAGTTGGCCTCCCACTGTTATGGCTAGCCACCGTTAAGCTCCCGTTGACTGTTACTGATCCTGCTGATCCTTTACTGCCAGTAACCTGCCCCAATCCGCCTGCTACAGTTGCTGTTATTTCTCACACGTTGCGGCGGGTGCAACAGACTTGGCCTCGTCTGGTGGGTGGTGGGTGGTGTGTAGGGCTGGAAGGACGTACGTACGCCTAGTGGGCGGCTGAAAGGAACAAAGGAAACCCTTGGCAACGCAGGCCAACAAAAAAGAAGAAGCAGACGCAAAAAAATATCAAGAAGAACACTGAGAGAGAGAAGCACAAGAAGGAGACGAAGAAGGCGACGACGAGAACGAAGCCGAAACGAAGGAAAGCCGAACGAAGGCAGCACAACAAAGGGTGTGCGGTTGTGGTGGGGGCGGGGGTGGTTGGTGTTGGTGTGTGCTCACGCTGTGTGTGTGTGTGGGTGGAAAATTGCGTC